CTATTGCATGAAAGCGTGATCGCCTATCACTTGGCCTTCAGAATTCGTTTTACGAACCTTGTGTTACATCGTAATAATCTACTATAACGGATTCAAGCAATTCTGGCTCTCTCTTCTACAAAGACCACAAATTCTTCAAAGCTCGGCTCTTCCCATGCATCATGATCTTATCGGCGACTTCCACCCGCTTATTCTGCAATTCTAGTGGTAGGTATGAAAACCATTATCTCCAAATTAGCCGTAGATTGACGTCAGACATGTTTACCATTTCTTTCAACGTTATACATACATAACGTAACTTATCCCAAAGTCAGTTATTACGACAGCTGTTCCTTCGACAGATTTATGGTTTAATAAGTCAGTGATTAGTTCTCATGCAACAAGATGCTCTTTACCAATTAAATCATATAATCTGTAGACGAATAGTTGTTAATTTAAAGGTTATTCAAATGTGTTTTTTTTATACAATTAGATGTAAATTTAAGATCACCTGAAATAAGTGTTTCCAGTATATGGATCAAAAGTGACACGCTAGTGGAGTTTGAACCAATCGAGAGTATGTTAAACCTTGTTTATTCATCAATTACTATTTTTAAACTTGAATAGATGACATCGTTTTCATCGAATTACAAATGCCATGTGTCATTTTAATTGGCTATTTGATGATATCCTTTCATGTTTCTCAGTGACGTTACACTTACCATTAATAATTACACATCGATTTACTGTTGAATGTTGAAGATAACTAAGGAACCATTTCGAACTACTACAGGTGTATTCACTTCAATGAAACGTACTGTGAAACGTCGCCACAAGACCATGGATGGGATGATATAGGTCTCGAAAATCTTTATGATCAGCTTGTAGATTGCGTGTTGACGAGAATGTTTTCATTGTTTTTGTAATATCAAATTTCTCTGAGATATTGAAATCGCGAATGCAATCCACGTAAATGTGACTACCTTAAAAGTTGTAGTATAATTTCTAATATCTTTGCTGTTTCATACTTGTTCGTTAAGCCGAAGGTGAAGACAGGTCACGCGTACAAATCGCATTTCATTGTAGTCAACATACATGTAAACTAAGTTTCTTACTTACTTACGCCTGTTACTCCCAATAGAGCATAGGCCACCGACCAGCATTCTCCAACCCACTCTGTCCTGGGCCTTCTTTTCTAATTCCATCCAATTCTTGTTCATCTTCTTCATGTCTATTTCCACTTCCCGGCGTTATGTGTTCTTTGGTTTCCCTTTTTTCCTTTGGCCTTGAGGATTCCATGTGAGGGCTTGTCTTATGGCGCAGTTGGGTGCTTTCCTCAATGTGTGTCCCATCCACTTCCAGCGCATCTTCGTGATTTCTTCCTCCGCTGGGATCTGGTTTGTTCTTTCTCACAGTTGGTTGTTGCTAATAGTGTCCAGCAAACGGATCCGAAGTATTTTGCGTAGAAAACTGCTAATAAACACCTGTATCTTCTGGATGATGGCTTTCGTAGTTCTTCAGGTTTCCGCTCATACAGTACAACTGTCTTGATATTTGTATTGAAAATCCTGATCTTGGTGTTGGTTGACAGTTGTTTTGAGTTCCAGATGTTCTTCAATTGTAAATATGCTGCTCTTGCTTTACCGCGCCTTCACATCTGCATCAGATCCACCTTGTTCCTCGATGTTGCTGCCCAGTTATGCAAAGGTTTTTACATCTTCCAAATCTTCTCCGTCAATTGTGACTGGATTGGTGCATGCTGAATTTTATTGCAGAATCTTGATTTTCGCCTTGTGTATATTGAGACCTACTGCTGCTGAGGCTGCTGCTATTTGTTGTTGCGATTGCGATAAGAGGGCTAGATCATCAGCTGCATCCTAGATGTCCACTGTATCCCACGTTTCCCTTCACGTGTTGACGTCTTCATGGTCCAGTCGATCACCAGGAGAAAGAGAAAGTGCGAGAGTAGGCAACCTTGCCTGACACCGGTCTTTACTTTGAACGAGTCTGTCAATTGTCCACCATGCACAATTTCGCAGTTTAATCAATCATAGGAATTCCGTATGATATTAACTACATTCTAAGCCACGCCGTAGTATCAAAGAAGCTTCCATAGTGTTGTTCTGTCCACGCTATCAAATGCTTTGTCGTAGTCAATGAAGTTGATGTAGAGTGATGAATTTCATCCAATTGATTGTTCCACAATGACCAGTATTGTTGCGATTTGATCTCTACACGATCTATCCTTACGGAATCTTGTCTGTTGTTCTCGAATTTGGCGTCTACGGATTCCTTCATTCTGTTTAACGATACCCTGTTGAAGACCTTTCCCTGTATTGAAAGAAGAGTGATGCACCGGTAGTTAGCACAATTGCTGAGATCACCTTCCTTTGGTATTTTGACCAGAAGTCCTTCTTTCCAGTCTGTTGGTACTTGTTTCTCATCCCAAATCTTATTGAAGAGAATGTGGAATATCCTTGCAGTTGCCGTCACGTCCGCTTTCAGTGCGTCTGCTGGAATGTTGTCTGGCCCTGCTGCTTTGCCACTCTTGATTTTTCGGATGACAATGCTGATTTCTTCTATTGTTTGTGAGTCGACATTGATTGGGAGGACCGTCGGTGCCGCTTTGATATTGGGTGAGTTCAGTGGGGCTGGTCGATTCAAGAGTTCTTTGAAGTTTTCTACCCACCTGTTTCGTTGTTCTTTAATGTTATTGTGTTACGTCCAAGTTTTGCTCGTTCCAGTTATTGAAGTACGGATTATCGATCTACTTGCAAATTACGAACCCAAATTGACAATAGAACCGAAACTCCGATTCAGATACCAAATTTATTCGTAATTCACAAATAGTCGACCAAATGTCGTTCTAACAACAATAACTATAAGAATTACAAAACAGACCTTCAATTTTGTAGGTTCTCGGAGCAAAACTACCAAATACCAAACCAACGACAAAGGGAAACCAAAATGTCCGAAATAATGATATAAACTAACAAGTTCAAAAGTTAAGTAAAGCAAATACATCCAAAAACACAGTAAATTATTACTATACGATTGAAAGGTTTTAATCCGCCAAATGTCTTTAGTTCTCCTGTAACAGGTGATTACTTCGCCTTCCTTGCTTTTCACTGGTCGCTCCGGTTTACGGTGATTTCGGGAGAGTTTCTTTGTCGTGTCATACAGTTGTCTCATGTTTCCTTCTCTTGTAGCCTATTCCGCCGTCATTGCTAAGTCTTTCACATATTTACGTTTGTCAGTTCTGATACTCCTCTTCACTTGCTTGTTTACTTCTGTGTATTCAGCTTGTACCTTGTCTTTTTCTGCTCTTGTTCGGCTGGTATTGATTGCTGCTTTCTTATTCCTCCTTTCTTGAATCTTATCCAGTGTGCCAGCAGTGATCCATTCCTTGTGATAGTGCTTCTTGTGGCCCAGAACCTCATGGCATGTTGATGTGATTGCTTCTATGACCCCCTTCAAGTTGCTCTCCATAGTAATTCCTTCTACATTGATTAGATCATGAAAGGCCTAAAACTTATTGCTGAGGATTATCTTGAATTTGTTGAGTTTGTCATTATCTTGAAGAGAGGCCGTATTAAACTTTTGTGATATTGTCCGCTCCATTGTCCAGTACTTCTTGAGTTTCAATTTCATCTTGGCGATCAGCAACTGATGATCTGATGCTATATCAGCTCCTCTCTTGGTTCTCACGTCTTGTATCGTCGTCCTGAACTTTTTGTTGATGCGGATATGGACGATTCGGTTTTGCGTGATCTGATCCGGTGAAGTCCATGAGAGTTTTTGAATGCGCTTATGTGGTAATATAGTGCCGCCTATGGCCAGTTTATTGAGGGCACATAGGTTTGCAAATCTCTAATCATCCTCTTTCCTTTTTTCCAGTCCATGTCGTCCGATGATATCTTTATGTCCGGTGTTGTCCATTCCAACCTTGGCATTTAAATCTCCTATTAGAATGGCAAAGTTTTTTGTTGGGCACTTCTTGATGATTGAGTGCAGCGTATCATAGAATTGAATTTTAACATTTTCATTGTGGTCGTTGGTAGGCGCATAGCGTTGGATGACGTTCATTGCAATGCCCTCATTCTTTGTTTTGAAGGAGGCTTTGGTGATCCTTGGTTCATGAGATTCCCATCCTATAAGTGCATCTTGTGCTTGTTTCGACAGCATCAATGCAACTTCTTGTGTATGTGAGGCATTTTCTTCTTTATGGCCGGAGTATAACAAAAGCTCCACTGAAGCTAGTCGTTGTTATCCAACTTGCGCCCAATGTGATTCACAGATCTCTAGCACTTTCAGGTTGTATCTCCTCATTTCTGAAGCGATTTGGAAGGCTGTCCCAGTGTCCCACATTGTACGAGTATTCCATGTACCTAAATCAATGGTTGCTCTGGTTGTTAGAAGAGGCATCGTTCTCGCGACTTCCGAAGGAACTTGGCTTTCATCATGTGGCGTCATAGTTATTCAAAATGAAGACTTTCTGACTCCCAGGGCAGATTTTAAAAGGTTTGAATAAATTTTTCTGGTTAGCGTTTTTTAGCGAGTTAGTTTTCTACGGGATAAGGTCGCTAACCCTATGCTCAACCCTCCTCCTTTATCCGAGCTTGAGACAGGCAGTAGCCCCAGGAGGTACTCAAAGCGGCTTTGAAACAATGAGTATGTTCCTTTCCTTCTGAATTTCTACAATCAGTGGCTACAAACACTTCTCAGTTCATCATTTGTTAGACTATTTAGCAGCGTTTAGAATACTGAGAGAATCATTCCACGATCTATTGTTCAGGTCACCTTCAGCATTTATCGAATAAAATGTCACAAATCGTCAATATATTTTCATTAATCGAACATGTCTGACACTAAACATGTGTGACGAGAGTGTCCTAGTGAAAGTAGAAGCATACGCTTTACTCAGAAAGCACTATATTGGAATGGAGTTTAGGTTACACATTTTGATATTCACTTATTTCTTGTTTGATAATTTGAAATGCAGTCACCCTTTTTTTCCGTAGGGAATTGTTCAATTCACAATTCGACTGGGGAATGCCAAAATGCGACAACATCAAATATGAGATGTATTTGGTGTGAAAGAGCTAATATGTGCATTAATAGCAATGATAAGGATACTCATGAATTGAAAGTAGACCATTGCCTCATTAAAGTAAGTAATTGTTAAACTTCATAGGTTGCCCTAAATGTTGCTATATTTCACATTGCAATTCCTTTAACTCAAAAGATCATTTTGTTACTTCAAATACGTACTGATTCGTTTATGAATAAAAACGTTGTTTAGCATTAATGCTCGGAGTCCTATTAATTTATCAACTAGGTGATTTCAGAAATCAAATATGACACCGTATATCTATTTTGTGATGAAAACTGAAAATAACGTAAAACGAATGATGAATTATTTGAATAACACACTATAATGAGTAATAATGTTACTGTTTTGTTTTTCTTCAGAACACGACCGTAAACACACACGTGACTGAACACAATAACACAAACACACTTTATTACCTGTATATTGTGATACCAATTGTGGTCTCAGTCTGCGTTGTGTGCGTTGAATGCTTCATTGGTCGGTGGTTGTATAAGAGAAAGAATAGTAATTCATGATTCCCAGAAACTTCATATCACTAGTTTTTAATAATTTGACCGAGTTGTTTTCACTTCGTAATTCATCCAATAACTTCACATTTTTTTGTCCGTTCCCGTTTGCTGGGAGCTTTTCTTCATGCAACTTTGAATCAGTTTTATGGTTGTTAACATGATAACTGATGTAATTTTGTTGATAAAATAATGATAGTCGTTTTTAACATTTACGTGATTGTTTTAATTCAATAAAAACTGAATAATATCACAAGAGTTTTACGGCATTTGATATGTGAATTGGCAGTATTCTGTTTACGACGCTTAGTGATAATTGCAATCAACAATTGTTCTGTTGCGAATGTCTATTTCGATCAGGTCCTACTTGTAAAATGTGATCGATAAACGAACCCACCAATAATAAAGGGAAACGCCCACCACCACATTAACTTCCTTTGACCTTTTACGACTGTATCTTTTTGTTAACCAATCACAGTTTAATGTTCATTGTAAAACAATATTTGCTTGTTGACTCATCTTTCCTATTCTCTGGCTACTGTTCGGTATGTTATTGTCTCTTTTTCCGTGTATTAATATACTGTACTGTTTCGTTTGCACACTAACGATGTTAATTTATGTTTAAGAAACAGATAAAGTTTATATAGCCAAATAGCTTACTTGTTCTGACTTTGGCCAAACCAAGACTCTGTATTCGACGCTCTAGAGAATAGCTTAGAATTAAACCTGTAGGAAATTGCTCCCTACAAAGTTTCGAACAGTATCTCATCAAAGTTTCGTACATTGGGTACCTTTAGATGTCTATGGAGAGTCGTAAAACTGATCATATTCCTGAATTGTCTCCTCATTATTCAGAAACCCATAGTGATGACCAGCTCGGAGGAAATACCTACCGAATGGATCCCTTGTTAGAGTTAGAATTAGCTAAAGTACGTTTAGCTCAGACAGAAAAGGAAATCGAGCTAGAACGGTTACGCCAAAAAGGAAGAGAACATTATAATCAAGTTATGGCTGACAAGGCGATGACGTATGAGTCTACATCTTTCGTTGATGTTCCTCCTAGAAAAGACTGGGTAACAATGATGTTTAGAGCTTTAGACCTACCAAAGAAAGAGATTGTAAGGTTTGATGGTAACCCTATGAACTATTGGAGCTTCATACGGAATTTTGAGGACTGTTTTGACGAGAGCATTGGATTCCGATCTAGGTTAAACTATTTGATCCAGTACTGTGATGGTGAAGCTAAAAACACTATTGTTCATTGCTTGAGCCAGAAGAAGGCTATCGTAAAGCACTAGATCTTCTCGAGGAAGCATTTGGTCAGAAACATATAGTAGCTCATGCATTTATTAATAAGATGCTGAACATCCCTGCCATTAAAGGGACCGATCCATATAATTTAGGAAGGTTGTCTCGTGAGATGCATATTTGTGAGCTAACACTCACGCAGATGAACTATGTATCTGATCTTAATTCTACAAAGACTATCGAATGCATGTTTTTAAAAGTCCCGTTACACCTGCAAAGAGAATGGGTTAAAGTTGCGTGTAGAATTCTTAAGACAGGCAGAGAACCTTCATTCAAGGACCTTTGTGAAGGAGCAGTCGGACATTGCTAATACCAGGTACGGCTTACTTGTCAACCGCGGTAGTAATAGTGGCAATAAAGATGTTGGTGTTTTAAAAAAGAAATTTAGTACGGATTACAATGCAGCAAGAATATCTTATGCGAGTGCTAGTGATGGTAATGCTCTCTTACGCAGTTCATCTTGTTTAGAGTGCTCCAGTAATCATTCCTTAGATCAATGTCAAAAATTTAAAGAATGTTAGAGAAAGGAAGGAATTCGTTCTTAGACACAAGTTGTGTAATGTATGCCTGAAGGCAAACCACGTAGCAAAAAACTGTCGATCGCCGAGGTCGTGTACTGTCGAAGGGTGTGGCTGGAAACACCATACCCTGTTACATTAGTTGCGGGAAGAGCCAAGGAATACTAATATTGATGCACACATTAACACCCAGATATGTACGGAGAAAAGTGATGAGCGTGTACAGAAACAAGCAGCATTCGCAATAGTGCCTGTACTGGTGAGGAGTGGAGAAAAGGTAGCACAGACTTGTGCCTTCTTAGATAGTGGGTCGGATGCCTCACTCATTACAGAAGATCTAGCTAAAGGGTTGAATTTAGAAGGAGAGCCTAAGATTATTTCGTTGAAAACGTTGGATAACCATTCCACAATTCAGTGTGAAGAGGTTCAACTAGAGGTTTCCTCCTTAGATTCGTCTTCGTCATTTAGAATCCCAAACGTATGGACAGTCGAGAGATTGCTTATGTTGCGCAGGACGGTACCAACGATGTCTCAAATAAAATCCTGGACGCATTTAAAAGACATAAGTTTTCCTGGAGTAGAGGATGAGAATGTCAAACTGTTGATAGGGTGCAACGCACCGAGTGTACACGAAATGAAAGAGATAAGAACTGGAAAGCCGAATGAACCATTCGCCGTGAAGACTCCGTTAGGTTGGACGCTGTTCGGTTCCTATAGGGAACCTTGTAAAAGCAATTGTGCACTCAACCACCTCTCAGCTAAAGAGGAATTAGAGGATAAGTTCGAACAGTTGTACTCGACTGAATTCAAAGATCCATTAAGCCGTACTATCTCGATGTCTGTAGAAGATCGTATAGCACTCGGTGCTATATCGAATTCGGTACAAAGGTTAAACGGGCACTATCAAATAGCTCTACCTTGGAGGCACAACCACAAGTTACCTAATAACAGAGAATTAGCAGAACGTAGACTTAGCTGTTTGAAAGGTAGATTTATTCGGGATAAGAAGTTGTTCCAAGACTATGTAGATTCCATGACTCGGTATGTAGAACGAGATTACGCTGAAAAAGTCAACGATAACCACTCTGATGGACGAATTTGGTATCTTCCTCATCATCCAGTCTTCCACCCCAAGAAACCTAACAAGCTAAGATTAGTGTTCGATTGCGCAGCTCAGTATGCTGGAACGTCTTTAAATAAGAACCTTTATTCTGGGCCTGATTTAGTCAATAGCTTAGTAGACGTCTTCACCAGGTTCCGGCAACGACCAGTAGGTCTTACGGCGGACATTGAAGTCATGTTCCACCAAGTAATAGTTCCGCCGCCTGATCGAGATGTTCTTAGATATTTGTGGTGGCCAGGTGGAGACTTAGAAAAGGAACCTGAGATATATAGAATGAAAGTTCATCGGTTCGGAGCAACTTCATCGCCATGTTGCGCCACCTTTGCTTTACAGAAAACGATTTCTGATAATCAAGATAAATTTCCCAGGGCTGTTACGCAAGCAGCTAAAGAACAGTTTTATGTGGATGATTTATTGATAAGTGTGGATACCATAGAAGAAGCCAAATTGACATATTCGCACTTTAAAAGACTCCTAAGTTTGGGAGGATTTAACTTAACTAAATGGACTAGTAATAGCGTTGAAGTGCTGGAGTTCATTCCAGAAGAAGACCGTGCTGAAGGAAGGATTATTGTCTGTGAATCCAATGAGACAAGTAAACGAACTCTGGGAATAGAGTGGAACGTCCGAACAGACGAGTTATTTTTCAAAGTTCACGAATTTCATGGAAACCCCACCAGAAGGAATGTTTTATCGTATGTAGCATCTATCTTTGATCCAATGGGGTTTGTAGCCCCAATAATATTACCAGCTAAAGTGATCTTACAAGATACTTGTCGTCAGAAACTAGACTGGGATGCCGAGTTACCCATAGATTGTCAAGCAAAGTGGAATAATTGGTGTAGACATATAAAAGGGTTAGACCACTTAAGAATACCAAGGTGTTTGAAACCAGGGTTTGAACCATCATCTGCGCAAATTCATTGTTTTGCCGACGCCTCCGAGCTTGCGTATGGTGTTGTTGCGTATATTCGTTATGAAAGTGTTTCTGGTCGGATCCATTGTTCATTCCTGCTAGCTAGGTCTAGGGTTGCTCCCCTAAAACTTGTTACTATACCCAGAATGGAATTAACGGCCTGTGTTCTGTGTGCTAAGGTTGGAAGGCACATAAGGGAACAGTTAAGTATCCCCATTTCGTCAGTCATTTATTGGACCGATTCGACAGTTGTGCTTCATTGCATAAAAATACGACTAAAAGATTTGAAAGGTTTGTGAGTAACAGGTTGGAAACTATACACGAATTGTCTACGCCGAGTCAATGGAGATATGTGAAAGGTAAATTGAATCCTGCAGATCACGCGTCTCGTGGATTATCACTAAATGATAAGGCTAAGGTAAGAGAGTGGTTACAAGGGCCGAGATTCTTGTGGGAGGAAGAAAATAAGTGGCCTAACCTAGAAAAGATTGAGAACACTATAGCCCATGTATCGACAGAGGATTTCGAACTCCCAAGACACGATAATGAGTTCCTAGATCGATTTCGTACGTGCAGGTCGTGGTCCAGACTTCTAAGGGTATTTTCATACTGTAGACGGCTTATCAATAATATGTTAAACAAGAGGAACGGAAATCGTCTAACCTTAGGTGCGCTTAGTGCTCAGG